ACTAAAAGAAACTGTATTTATTTAATTTTAAAACATATAAAAGTAGTTTTACAAAAAACACAAACTTACAATCAAAATAGAGATTAAAATATAAATACATTGTATACAAATATAGTTATTTTACAATCTTAAAATCATCAGGAAGCTGTAAATTAGTTACTAAGTTCTTATCTTACTTTTCAAGTTTTGTTAAGCATTTTTTTTTATTTCTTCGAATTCCTCATTAAAAGCATCGAATCTTTCAGCAAATTATTCGAAACAATTCTTTAAATCTTTAACCATCTTCTTGTTTTGACTGATAAGAGTAATTAAAGGAATTCTTCATGAAATTCACATTTTTTAAAATCATGTCGTTGTTCGTGCACTTCTTCAAAAATGTAATGCAGTGTTTGTCAATATCTACATTCAAACAGTTAATTTTCCACATTATATAGAACAAAGGATTTTCATCATTTTCCTGTTAATGGTGTTCCGCTTTAATCATTAAAATCTGCTTAATAAACTCGCATCTATTTGCAATTTTATATAAACAGTTTTATCATATTCTAATATTGGGAATATTTGTTAATTTTAACTGTTTTAACTGTAATTTCATGATGTTTGCCAAACAAACACAGAACTAATTTTTATGTTATTGTTAGCAATATTATTATTGTGCCTCTAAACTAAATTAAACCAGAATCATAATTTAGCGCAAGAACTAGAAAAGAGTATGGGAAAGGTAAAAACTTACAAAAATTACAAAATAATTTAAATCAAGGCCGAAATTAATTCATACAATAGTAAAAAAACACGAATTTTTAGTTTAATTATGAAATATGTTATTTTTATATACGATTTTACTAACAGCCAATTGGTTCTAATAAAGAAGAAAATAATTGGTACGGTTTGAATATATACTAAAATTTTGTATGTATTGTATTAACAATAAAAAATTCAATTATAAACTAAAAATTAATTAGAAGAAAGTAAATTATGTACAAATAAATACAACAATATTTATAAAATATTCTGCTAAATGGAGATTTATAACATGTTGGATGCTTTGTCGAGAAAATCTTTGATTTCTTCGAATTGCTCATCAAACATATCGAATCTTCTGGCAATTTTTTCAAAATAGTTCTTCAAATCTTTGACCAAACTAAACAATTTTTGCTTCGTATTGATTTTTTTACATCTCCAAGAAAACACTGCAATTTTTCTCAATATCTGACTACAAAATATTAGTTTTCCATATGATATTAGCGGAAGGATCTTCAGTTTCGTCGTCGTCTTTGTGTTCCGCCTTTAATATTAAAATCCTCTTAATCCATGCGTATTTCTTCGCATGAGAATCTAAAAATTTTTTGAATTCCGCCTCATTCAACACCACGACCATCCTGTTTCAGCGAAGAATCTCTTTGAATTTACAGTTGCAAATTTCTTGGCATCTTTTCACGATGAGAGCATCATCTGGTCGTAGATGTTTTACAAGATAAATTCGTTCCGGAATTGGGATCAATCATCAGGATTAATACTTCGATTCATTCAATCAATTTTTAAGGAATGAACAAAATTTGTTTACAACGTGCATGTCTTCTCATGTTTTATGTCTTCAACGTGTTTGCTGTATTTTTTCATATCCATATTCTAGAATTGTTTTCGTAAAAGTCGTTTTTCCTCCAGGTTATCTCTTTCCAGGAATGTTTGCATAGGTTCAATTTTAAATTCGAGAGTTGAAGCATCGCCCAACACAAACTTTTTGTTCTGAGTATAATCTATAGATCTTCCGCTAGTTTGCACATAGCTTTGCAAGATCTTCTATATAAATATCATTATTTTGTATCAAATTGTCCTTCAACTCGTTACTTTTCTCTTTGATATGCTTTACCTCGAACAAATAGTTTTATGGATAAGCCGTCTTATTGATTTGGTTTAAGTTATCTACGTAGATGTTAGAATTCCCCATGTCTTAATCTTTATTAGTTTTCAAAATTCATACATAAGTTTTTATAATGGAGACCGGTAATGAGATGACTTGAGATTTGGAGGGGTTGGGTTTAATCCGACACCTTCTCATCCAGGAGTCCAATGCGCGGCTTTATTTTTGGATATGGGAATGAGGTTAGGCTGGGGTAGGGATGACGGAGCAGAAGATGTTGAAGAGAGGGTGAGAGGATGGCCACTTGCGGCACTCCAGAATTTATTATGAAAAGTGTTTAGGAGGCTTGCCGATTTTAATGGATATGGATCTGTTGAGGAGGTAGTGCTGTAGGAAATTTATAAGGTAAACGGGAAAATTAAGGTGGACTAGTTTGTGGATTAAGTCATTATGCTACACTGTGAATGTCAAGGAATAGGATGGGGTTGTGTCAGCCGGAGCTAGCGGAGTTTATGATTTGGGTGGTTAGGTTGAAGATTGCGTACTAGGTGCAGGTGTGTTAAGTGAAGCCGTATTGGTGTGAAGGTATGATGTTGTGGACTATTTTTTTCAGTTTTCCTATAACTGGGAGAAGAGAGATGTAGCTCAGCACCTGTGCAGTTTCCGAAATGTATTTATAATACATTCAGTTGCTAGTTTAACGATTATTTTACGTTACTGTAATTAATTGTAGTCACTATTTAATTGTCTCTACGCAAATCTTGCTACTTATCTAATTATTCCTCTTATTTAATTATCATTTTTCAGGTAAATTATTGGATTACTAATTATTGGATTTTTGTTTCTGAAACTTTCAATATTATCATATGTATCTAAAATTAGATTATTCCCAGCCATTTGATTCAGCATTAATTTTCATTGAACTCAGATTTCCACTTCTACATATAGTATTTCCAGATTTTCATTAAGTTTCTATACTATTTATTCCCAGATATTTTATTCACGTTTACATTGATCTAAGATCTTCAATTCTCTATGTTATTTCCATTTGATTAATTCTTTAGTTTGTGATGAACTTAAGCACATATTTATTAGCCTATTCTGAAACTTTTGAATATTTTGTTTAGTCGAATTAAATGTATTGCAGTTTGTTGAATACCTGGATTTGTAGTATTTGTGTTCTATCATTTTACAGTTATCCTAATTTGAAACATTATATCTCAATGTGGAATTATATTTCGTTTTAGGTTTGCCTGTATTGATTTTGGTTTTATTTTCCTTCTAAGTTCGTTGAGATTTTTGCGTTTGTATTTTATTATGTATTTATAAAACAATTTGATGATAGTGATATTTTCATATTAACTAAAAATGTTTGCGTTCTAGTTCGAAAATTTTAAAATATTCATGATCCGTATGCGCACTTCAATGAATCAAAGTCATCAATGGGATGCATCAAAGCCTTGTCTTTTCGTACAGGGACTGAACGAAGCTGACGTACGGTCGCAACAGCGAGCACGCACAAATAGCGGTGGTATCTTTCGAGAATAGTCCCGTGTTGAAAAACTGAACCAAGGTAGGTGAAAATTTCCATGCCATCTGAAAGAGCGTATTTTTATACATGGGGCTATTAATTTTGGCGCTTACAACATTTAATGCAACGTAGATATAAGTTTTAGAAGATTTACTGAACACGTGATCGATTCTTCGACATGAAGTGCGTTTCTAAAAACTTGATACTGATTAATACCAACAATTTAGGAAATTGGGTTTATTGTTATACAATTGTTGCGCTTAATTATCTTATTAGTTTAATTTTTCTTATGCATTTTATTTTCATTTTGGGATATTTTCTGGGTTTGAAGAGTTTTGAGAGTTTGTGGAGTATTTAAAAATAAAGTATATGCATAAAAAAATTTAGCTGAGCGTCGTTATCATATGATAGCATTCTAATTTTTTTAGGCGGCGGATAGCGCGCTGACATAGTGACGCGGTCGAATTTTGTACAGCGAAATTACCAGCTCTGCACGGCTATCACCCAGTTTTTGTTCGCGGTTGACCGGAGGAAATTGATTTTTCTTTTCTCGCAGAATTTAGGAAGATTTATTTTTTTGAGGTGTATAGGTCTGAGTTCTCGACCAAGGTCGACATGAAGACTACCGGAACAATTTTGTAAATTTAATTTAATTAATTTTAACCGGTGGTGATAACTTTTCTTAGTTTTTCGGAAAATTAATCACTGTACGTAGTTTTTCTGCTGTGTCATTTTCAGCCAGCGATTAATTTTATTTTATCCTTGTTCTTCTTTGTTTAATTAATTTTGTTTTTGGCCTTTGCTGGAAGTTATGAATTCTTCTTCAAAGTACTTAATTCTGGACTTTAGTACTACTGATTAATTTTCAGTACTCGAAGGACCCAAATGGTCAACTCTTTTTTCAATGAGTGAAGCCTCCAATGAGTAATAAACAACATAGTGCTTCTATCATTGTTCCACAGCCCCAACTGTGGTATCCTCGTAATTGCGGCAGGCAACGTCGATTACTTCTGAGAAATACCGCTTGCATCGTTTGCTCATCCTCATGGCGGTTGGAAGATCTCTGTTGGTTTACTGTGAAATGTTTATATTGAATTAAAAATTGTAAATAATATGATCAAAACTATGTATAATATATGTAGTTCTTATGCGTTACTCGAATGAAGGATTGAGCGCCGAATAGTAGAGGACTGATGTAATGTTCTTGTTAATATTATATGATAAAGTGAAGACTGAATGTTAATGTGAACTCGTAGTTCTTTGATATCTATAAAAATAACAATTTATAGTTTGAGTATATTTCCTTTCAGTTGTGTTATTGTGGTGTTTCTATGCTCCAGTATCCAGACACAAATCATATGATTTCCAATAAAAGACCTATTCTTCAAAAAAAGTAGTCATGGGAAATTATTTGAAAAGTAAGTTAATTTTAGTAAAATAACCATTCCTAATAATAAAGAAAGCAGTAGTTCGTAAAGCTTTAGAAAATTTATTTTCAAATGATGCCAGTGCGGCTCAGAAAGGAAATGTAACGCTAAATAAGAAACCTAAATTAAGTGAAGGTAATATGATTTATTGAATTATTAAACAAACATACTCTTTTGTAGCAACAAATATCAATACTGCGATTAGCATGGACGATGAACATCCTCTACAGAAAAGAGTCTACAATTCGACGAAAAATAGCAGCAAATGTATATAAAAACATTTATTTTGGAATATTATTTCTTTAATATATGTTTGTTTTAGTTCATCGCAATATTAGTTTGCATAATGTCGAGCTCTCAAAAAATAAAAAGAAATCAGGTAACATGCAAATGATATAAAAAAACTAATAATAAACCATAATATGATATTTGGTTTTAGGTTCACTCTCTGATAAACAGCTTCAACGTCTCTGCGATGAACTCAATGCATCTCGTAAATTACCTGATTTATCGTTTGGTAAGAATTACATCCTATGGGATTTTTGTGTTATTAAAATAATTGTTTTAGGTAACGCAACATTAAATGATTTTCTTAGGCGTAGTAGTCGATTACGAAAGCCAACAAAATTAAAAGATATAATGTATATTCAACGCGTTGAATCATCTACGTCAGGTATAATTCTTCTCAATAGCCTTATAATATTTATAAAATGTCATTCAATTATAGGAAAGAAAAGTACGACTCGAAAAAGAATGACGATTTCGCAAACACATTCAAATGCTTCAGTTCTACAGAGAATATAGATCAAGAAAACGATGGTACTCATGGCAGAAATTTAGAAGCTTTTGAACAAGTTGCATCTCAAAGTAAAGGTAATTTAATATATTGTCAGCTTCAACTACAGAAGAACATGTCCAAGTTGCGCAATAAAAGCAAAACCTCGCAGTCATTTCCAAATGCTACTAAGAAAAGAAAAACTTCACATGAAGATTACGTTGATTCTAGTAAAGATTATGAAAGAATGGGTGAGTTAAATGATATAGTTTCAAAATATGAAAACTGTAGTTCATCTCTGTTTCTTCGTAG